ATATATATATATATATATATATATATATATATATATATATATATATATATATATATATATATATATATATATATATATATATATATTACAGTTTTTAAATAATATTATAATTTTAAAAATTTATATTTAAAAAAAATATTGAATAAGATTATGAACTCTTGATTTTTCATGAGTGAGTTTGTTATATCATCAATAAATTATATTGATATTTTACACAAAAAAATATGTCAAATGAAGTTACGAATCTAAAGCCTGAGAAAATTTATCACATCATACTAGTATTTTAGGTATAAAATATATCGGATGATTATTCTTAATTTATGGGAGAAGTGTAGTAGATATATAACTTAAATATCTCAGAAAATAAAGAAAAGGTTTGATATTTGGAGGGATGCATATGTTATATTGAGTTTGAGAGGGGGCTAATATGTTATTTCCAAAACATACACATCAAAACCCCATACTTTAATCTAACCGTACCCTTCGCTTTGCTTTTATTATCGGTGATTATTCTAAGTTTATTGGAAAAATGTTAATAGTCTCAGTATATATAGAAAATAATAATAATAAAATATATTTTCTAGGGAAACATTTACTATATTGGCTTTTAGAAGGGCTAACATGTTATATTTCCACAATGCACACATCCCATTTGCTTTCCGTTGCTCGTATTAGCCCTCATTCCTCTTCTCGAGCGAAAAGGGTTTCCCCTTCCTCCGTCTCCTCCCCGGATTGCCGGAGAAGCGTCGAGAGATGGATTCCCGCTCCGATTCGACTGGGCCTGCCGTTGGATCCGCCCAATCCTCGCAGCAGAGGTCCCCTCGGCCCTTGGAGAAGTTTCAGGTTGAAATCGTTGTATCAAAACCCAATATTTAATGGCATTCTTGGTCCACGCACCTGGTCTTCCGATTGGATTTCCCCGTGAAATTGATGCAAATTCGGCATATTTGGTTTGGTAATAATTATATGTGATCCGACATACATGGCTCATCTATTCGAGGGCGCAGGAAGTCGCCAATATGTCGAAGAAGAAAGCTTTTTTGAGATCGTCGTATGAGCATCTTCGTGAGAGACATAAGGAATTGATGGTCATAGTTGCTGTGATCGTACGCGGTTTATTAATTTGGCTGTGTTGCTACCCTTCCTGTATCTTTCGACACCTTTATGTTGATAAGTTGCAAATCAGTAGAAGTAATTATATCAATCGCTTGCCTCCATTATTTGTAACATGCTAAGACTGTCAACATGATACCTAGTTTGGCATTTTTCTCTTTGCAGATTACTTATTGTGTTGGTAGTATAAAATTATGATGACCGTGAAATTGTTTATTTTCTGTATGTGATTCCCTATTGTGTTTGTTGTTTCATCATGACATTCATCCCTCACCTAGTTACTGCCCTTTTAAAAGCATTATTAATGTTTCACGCCCTATTTTACCCGTATATTTGTTTCTTGATAATTGCAGGATCTTATGCTAAGGGTAAGGTCGCACTGGCAAGCTTATGAAGATGCCTTAGTTCATAACGCAAAAGGTAACGGGATCAAATCAAAAGTTGCTTTTGCAAGTTTTAAAGCATGGAATATTAGAGTTTTATTCATTTGGAGGGGTGGTACATTCAGATGAGTTGCTGGTTGCATATGATCACCCGCTTGAGGCATGTGGCGTTGTTGTTGTTGCTGGAATCCTTCTCTTACGAGGTACTGGATAACATTATTTTACTATGACATCAATTGTTAACTCATGGCTAAACTAAAATAACTTTTTTAGAACATTGCATATTCCTATCTTCTTGCCATCAAATGAGAATCCAATTCATAAGTGTGATTTAGTAATGCAATAAAGGAAGACGATCTGTATCTTTTATGATTTTTCTTCTACTGAACTTGAGAAGTGGTAGTTCTATAATAAATCATTACTTTAATTTTGAAATTATGTAGTTTTTCACGTGAAAGGTCTGACATATTATGATCATTTGTAAATACCATGATATTCATGAGATATTTAGATATTTTTCTCTTGGTCTTTAGGTATTACAAAATGTTATTTTTATTTGGATTTGCTCCATTTTTCTCTTCCTCCATTCTCTCTCTCTCTCTCTCTCTCTCTCTCTTCTCTCTCTCTCTCCATGTAACACATGTATTGATGAACATGACTATACACATGTACACCATCATTTCTGATTATTTAAATCTTTCTAAAGGACTTTGCATTTGCAGGGCCTAGAAGGTTCTTGTATCGTAAAACTTTAGGCCGTTTCAAAACTGAGGAGGTAAATGTTGACATTTTTTTTGTGGATTAATGTTTGAAATTCATAAAAAAGTCATTGACTTTCCATGCTTTGATTATGGTTGTACACTATCTATATGCTACAATTTTTTGAACTTTGGAATTGAACCTGTGCATCAACATGCCAGTAGCTTGACCATGTACTGTATCAATTTTGAAGGGAATATCATTATGCACTATAAGGAAATTTACATTAGGCTTTTAGTAGCTCTAGATTGTTGTTGTGGTGTTTATTTTACATTGGGAGTTTACCACATATGGTTTCCAAAAATAGGAGTTGAGGTATTATCTCACAACACTGCAATCAAGTATTGTAATAAGAATGTTGTCTCCATAAAGAAATTTGTAGCTAATACGTACATTGTTGTTAATAGAGTCCTTACAATATCTCTAAGAAACTAAAGTAATTTAAGGTTCCATATTTGATATGAAAACTGTAACTAATTTAAAGTGTCCAAGTTTTGTAGGAACAATTTTGTGTGTAGATGAGGAAAACTAATTTAAAGTATCCAAGTACTGAGAGAGTGTAGCTGATTGATGTTTTAACTTTTTCTTCTAAATTTGATTAATTGGAGTGTTCTGACTTTACATTATTCTTGTATTAATCTTCCTCCAGATGAATCACAAACATTTAAACTTAAATTTGGATCGTTATATAAGAGTTTATGAGACCTATCTTCCATGATGCAACTACAATTTTTATCAAAATTTTGTTCTTTTTTTTTTCTCTTGCACCTTTGATTTCTAACATTCCTTTGTCCTCAACAAATTGCTTCTTGGTGAAATTTGTCCTAATTCCTATACATTTATTTCTTCTATGATTCTGTCTCCTCTGAACTTACAAGCATCTGTGCATCTGTGTGTTTTAACCAGGAACGACTAACTGACGCTGAATCATTTTTAAGAGAAATAAACGAATCTGTCACAAAATTGAAGAAAGAGAGCAAAAATTTACTTACAAAAGTTAGTTACGGTGAAGAGGACTTGCATCGTGGAAGGACTAAAATCAGGTTCTCTCTGAGTTATCCCCACTTTTAGTTGACTTGGTTTCACGGCATATTTTCTTGTACTTGTCTTTCTATTATTTTGCAGTGCCTCTTCAATAATCAATAGGCTGATTAAATAACATTTCTGCAGAGCCGCTGGACATGAAATCCAAAGGCTTAACAAATCCATCTATAAGATAGAATCTGAAGCAGCAGGTATATATTTTTTCTTGAAATGTTTTACTAACACAGATTTTACACTATAAATATCACTGCTTATAGATACCTTAATGCTCCTTGATCTGCCAACATTCATATTGCTAGCTGAAGAATGAGCAATGATAACATCAATGTATGGCCTTGAGTGAGATTTCTGTAGTAGGAATGCTTGCTTCACATTGACTTGAATCTCTTATCAAGATCATTTGAGGCTCAAAGACAATGTTGGCCATTGCACTCTGGAGCATTCTGGCACACCATTTGTTCCTTAGCAGACTCCTTTTGAGAATTCAGTTGATAAACTATGAGATTTGTGTTTCTAGCAAATCACATCTATTTTTCCTTTGATATTTTTTACTGTCAATGTGAGAGTTGGCTGTAACTTTTATTGAATTTAGTTTCTTCGACTGTAATTCTATACTTAATGAAGAATTAAATGTCTAGATCTGATGGAGGAACTTCGGACAATTCCTGGGAGAACTGCACTAGAACTTCGTGCAGAGGCAAGTATATAGCCTTTTTCTTTTTCAGCAGTTCTGCATAGCTGAAATATGTTATACTTCAATTTTCCAATTTGCAGGTGGCTCCTATGACATCTAGTTTGAAAAATCAGAGGCTTGAACTGAATGAAAGAGTCACCAAAATATCAGAACTTGGGATTCGAGTTTGATAATAAAGTATTTTGGCCCTAGAGTGGAGATTTTTAAGATCCCTCCAACATGCAATAAAAAGTACTTATTCTTGCATCTACTTTTGCTAGAGAGTTTTTACCGGCTACGCTCATCGATTTCCCCTATTCGCATATTGCTTGGAGCACATCTTTTGTTACAAGTAAACTGGAAATCCTTAGGTCAGGACATTGTATTATTTAATGCAGCAATGAAGACAGTTAAAAAAGTGATTACAAAATACCTCAAATTCTCTCTCTAGTATCTTTGAATGATAAATATATGCCGATTGTGGCTTCTTGATAATTCAAATGTTGTAATCTGTGTCCTATAAGCTAGTCTTCCAAGTGGACACACTAGCTATTTCAGCTGGATGTGCTGGTCCAAGTTCAAGTTTGAGAACTCAGTTTTGGCATTTCCAGATATGCTTTACCCTTTGCTTTCAGTGACACGTAAGACTCTCCGATGGCATCTACACTTGCAATAAACATGCAAGTCACACAATGGTATTTGTTTCCTATTTTCTGTATGACCTTCCAAATGATATTATCTTGATGAAGGACATCAATAAATCTTTGGGGTTGATTCCAAATTATAATGTCTTGAAGGATTCGTGTTGACAAACTTGATTTGGAAAGTGAATTTGTGGATTCCAAAAATCAAATGATAAAAAATAAACTAAGCATGGTTAATGGTATAGTGTTTAACCATGCAAAATTCACAATTTCACACATTTGAAAATGGTTTATAAATTGATAATTTGATGCAGAAATTTGTAGGAGTTGGAAGTAAATATATAAATATATATATATATATATATATATATATATTGCAATACTCTTAAAAAAAATGCTCACATCTAGGAAAGTTAATGACATAGTTATTTGGAAAATCATTTATATCTAAAAAAATAATGACTTCAAGAAATAACCAATAAATATAACCAATGGCATAATTATGAAATGGTCATAACCCATTATTCGTCCATCCCAGATATATACAAGCGACCAAATATTCTTTTAAAAAATAGGAAATTCTTCTTAAATGTAAGTTTTTTATTGTAATATTATTAGGAAAAAAAACTACTGATATCTAAAAATAATAATGATCTCAAGAAATATTTATCATAAATGATAGAATTATATAAGGATCGATTATTCAACAAGACGAAAAGATCGATAAACATATTATTTATAAAGTAAAAATAGGATAGTTAAAATAACAAAAGGCATCATTAGTCTTATTTGATAGTTAGATACCTTTATATTAAAAGAGAAAAAAGAACATTGAGATAGATATCTAAAGTTATTAAGAAAGATAAAAAAAAATTATTTATGAATAATTACGGATTATTTCAATAAAAAATAAAATGAGATAAAATCGTTTAAGATAGTATAAGCATATACTGAGCAAACCTTCAAATGTGATAGTTAAAAAAGGTAAAATAATTAATATTAGTGATATAATAAGAGTTAAATGATCTAAAAAGATTTTAATAAAAATTATAAATATTGATTTAAGTATTTTGAGTTTAATTAAATATATATATATATATTATAAATATTAATAATAAAAAAATTTATATAATTGATCTCAAATAGTTTAAACTTACGATTTTATTATTGTTGTTGTAATCATATATATGATTATTATACGATGATGTCGTTGATAGAAGGGACATAATTGTAAAGAAATTGGGTTTATAGGGACGTTTCTCGAATTCTTTATTGGTTTAGGGGTATAAATGCAAAAGTAAACGAACCCTGAATCGCTTTACTGCTGCAGTTTGGCAGAACGAGTTCGCTCGCTCGGCCGCTGCCCAAACCCTTATTCCTCTCCGGCAATCGAGCGAGGACAAAGCCATGGCGGGGCGCGAGATCCTGATGCTCGAAGCGCCGCCGGACGCCTCCCGCCAGGGGTGGTCGGCGGGCCCGGACGCGGAGCTCGTGGACGCCCTGCCTTACATCGATGACGACTACGGCGATCCTAGGGTGAAGGGAGAGGTCGACCGGCTCGTGGAGGAGGAGATGCGGAGAAGCGGCAAGAAGCCCGCCGACTTCCTCCGAGAGCTTCCGCCTCTCCCGAAACTTAGCTTCGAGGTACCACTCGACGCCGCCTTGGAGGCGGTTGTTTCGCTGTTATGAAGTCTGAATTTTACTGGAGATGTTAGGTTTTTTTTTTTTAGTGCTTTGCTAATTTCTTTTGAGGTATTGCATGAATAAGGAAGATTCTGTGCCTTTATATCGTAAGATCGTTAGCTTCTTCTTCTTCTTTGATTTCCTGGATCTTGTTTGGCCATTAAATGATGAAAAGGAGAGGTTTTCAGGCGGGATGTTCTGGATAAATTATGATTATTTTTTCCGTGTATAGTTAAGAATGAGGGAGATCAACTTATTTATACAAGTAATTTATATGTCCTAACAGCAAAAAAAAATAAGAATTATTCTTGTCCTTTGCCATCTATCGTTAGTGTTAGGGTTATCATTGAGGGAAGACAAGGTCAAGTTGGAACGAGTGAAAACCTTGTTAGAAAACATGATCTGAATTGAGAGATCTTCACTTGTAAGGCTGGATTTTAGTACGGGTACTGTGGACCTCTCTACAAGAATACTTTGTTTTCTTGAATGAAGAGGATGCCTTAGTTTCTCTCTTAACCCTGCCACTGAGAGAAATGGATCCTTTCTATTCTTTGTTAAATTCCTGTAGGCTGTCGCCACAATATGTTGCAACATCCAACTCATACGAGGTTATGCTCATCATGAATCATTTTATGTTGTTGCATGAATCATGTGTTGATGGATGTAATGTCGCTAAAAATATTTGTAAGACAATATTGAAGTTTCTCCAAAAAGAATAAAAAACAGAGCCCTTTAAATTTAAGCAGTATAAAATCGGGAACTTATCTGCAATATGTTCTTGTTTCTAGTTGTTAATTGAAATGGTCATATTGTATATGCAAGAAACTTTTTAGGGGGAAGAATCCACTGAAGTCATGCCAGTTAAAGTTATATGCTATAAAGCTATTCTTAATGCCTGGAATCCATTTTGTGTGAGTGAGCATATCGCTGTTTTCATAACTTCTCAGAAAGCTGGCTTTTAATAGCTGGTTTAAAGGCTTCCTTGTTGGTTGTACAAATTTCCCATCAATTCTTAAGGCTCTTTTGCTTTAACACAACGTTTTTCATCCACATGTTTGTACAAAATAAATGAAGTATTTTAATCTGAAAATTGCTCTGCCTGCTACTGCAAATTTCGACACTGCTTAGTGGCAGCATACAGAATATGGATCACAGCTTCCTAAAGAGTTAATTTACTTATTAACATACTTTCAGAAAGGATCTCACACTCCTTATGTGCACTGTCAATATCACCTTGTGATTCTCTTGTTTCATTTTTTCCAGCAGTTTAGATGATTTTCCTTTGCTTTTTTCTTCGTGTCGGTGAAAGTGAACATAGATTAGGAATTATCTGAGAAAGTTTAGTAAAATTGAATTTTAAATGTAAAATTAGTTTTGATTGTCATTTTTGCAGGATCACCCTATGCTTGCTAGAGAGTATGAACGTGTAAGAGCCGGCAAGCCTCCTGCAACTTTAGAGATGTCCCGCTATGGATTGGAACCTCCTCCAGCAAATAAGCGCAATGATGTTACTGCTTGGAGGTTGGCCCTAAGGAATGCACAAAGCCTTCTACAACATCAAGTTATAAGGCAAGTAGTTATTGAATAAAATGAACACTTGGTTTCTCTCCTGACAGTTCTTGCATTTGTACTGAGTTGTCATTTAACCACTTCCTATTTAGAATGGTTGGGACATGCAGTAAACTTCTATTATATGCAAAAGCAAACAATGTTTGATATGAAAGAGGAATAACTATCAGAATATGCTTCCTGTTGGTGAACTTATGTGCCATGGCTGATGAGTCAGCACGGCCTGGTCCCCGGGTCGATGTCGGGAGTCTTTGGTCGGCTGAGCTGGTTGTCGAGGTAGGTCGAGCCCTTGCGATGGGGTGTCGGCGTCGGGGTGTTGATCAATGTCTCTCAGTCTGGACGCCGGTTAGTGGCTCGTCGTCTGGACGCTGGTCGACGACTCCACGGTCGGAACGCTCATGGCTCGAGGGTGGCCGCTTTCCTGCAAGAATGGCCTTCGTCTGGTGATTGCCGACTGTGGCCCCTCCGATGAGCAAGTCAGTGGTGGGTTGATCTGTTTTTTGCCTCCCCCCTGGGTCGGATGCCAGCCAGGGGTTTTTAAACTATTGTACGAGGGTAGGTCATACACGGGTTTGGCGTGGTGATTGATCCTTGAGAGGTGAGATGGTACCTTCGTGTGGCCGCCGTCCCGGGGCACGAGGAACGACGCCATGCAGCGCTGTCCCGGGCTTTCTGGGACGGGACGTACCGAGCAACGCCTTGGAACAGACTCTGGCTCGGCGCGTGGGGGTGCTTCTCTTGCTGACATGGCTGTAGCGTGGCATGGCGTCGATCGTGACGTGGCCTGGACCCAAAATATACCTTATCACTTCCATCATTTGAATGTTGTAAAGACAATGACATTTATGACGTGGCTATGTTGATACTATTAACTCGTATTATGGTTGGGACCATATGCCAACGATCGAAGTAGACCCCAAGGTTCAAACTGACCTTAAATAGTCACAATCACCCTTGAAATGGGAACGCATTGAACCATAAGAGACAGTTCGATAGCATAAACTTTGTAACTTGCGGCAATTACCATTAATTATAAGTTGAATAATTGTTGCAATGCCACAAATGATAAGCTTCAACTTTGATTGTTTGGTTACACGTTTAGGAATTGGAAATTGTAATTTCGTAGGACTTTTGTTATCTTTGAGAATGAGATGTGATACTTCACTAGTCCTACGTAAGCAAGTAATAGAAACAAGAATAACTTTTGTATCAGCGATTTCAATAGGCGCTCGGGCACTCGCCTAGGTGCTCGGGCGAGACGAGGCTCGAGCGCCTCGCTTCATGTCCAGGCGCCTCGCTTCAAAGAGGCGCTACCTAGGTGCTCGCCCGAGCCCAGGCGTCGAGCGCTTCCTGCGAGTGCCCGGGTTAACCAGGCGACCGAACCAGTGTTTTACGTTTGGTTCGGTTTCCGGTGCTTCAGTTGGTTCGATTGAACCAACTAAAGTACCAATATCAGCCTCCCAACATTCCTCTCGTGACTTTCCCAACCCTAACCCTGCTCGCGATTCTACCGTTGACATTTCCTCTCTACTGTCGCTGCCTCTCTCCGCTATCATTGCCTGTCTTCATTGTCGCTGCTCTCCGCTGCCGTTGCCACTGTCACTGCTCGTCGTCACTGCTGCCATTGTCACTATCGTCGCTCCAGCTCCAGCTCCCACTCCTGCTACCGCTGCTGCTTCTCTCAGTCAGCAGCCTCAGTCTTACTTTTACACCGTTGTCGTTGCTCGCTGCTACCGCTGCCACTATCGTCGCTCCCATTGCCATTGCCGCTACTATTACTCTTACTCCCTCTACTCACATTGACTCGATAGTATACTGTTAACAGTATATTCATAATATACTATTAACTGTATACTAGTAACAATATTTTTTTATTTATTAGATTAATAATATATTATTTTGATTTTAATACTGTCATTTTTTATTTATTTGAAATTATTGTTATTGTTTTGAATTTTGAGATTTTTTGTTAATGTGATATTGTGATTCTGTAAGATTTTTTAATTTAATATCATATTTTTATTTAAATAATTATATTTATTAATTAATTTTTATATTTTTATATTTTAGCGTCTCGTTTCGCTCGGGCGAGCACCTAGCGCCTAAGGCGTTTTTGCACCTTGGCGCCTTTGGCGTCTAATGCTTTTTAGATCATTGTTTTGTATAATATTCGAGAGCCTAGTACAAATTTGGCTCATGTTAATTTGCCTACTCAATACAAATTGTTAGGTTGCTTGGATTGTGAGAAGTATCAACAAACCATGATTTCCAGGATTACATTCTCAAAAAGTTGATACCCTTCATTAAGGGTGGTAAGACCACTGAGAATAAGGCATCAACAAGCTAATATGTAACCCAACTTTATTCCTTGGAAAGAATCATGGGGTGTGTGTTGCCTTGACAGAAGCATCAATGATTTGAGTAGAGAATCTATGTAACTATTATTACAAAAAAAAGTAATCTAGTACTTGTATTAAGAGTACTTTGTGACATGGATCAAAATGGCTAACCTATTTTATTGCTAGGAGGCCTTCATGTCTTGCATGTTGATCCATTCTTTATGTTTTTTCCTATGTGGGACTCCACAACTTATACTTTCATTCATGGTTCGCATTACTGGTCCGTACTAGTATACCAACCAATTATCTGTACAGTGTGTATCGAGTTGTATCGAGCATACCGACATATAGTACATTGCGAATGTATTAATGTATTGCCCATATTGATCCTCTGTTGGACCGGTATGTACCACTCGTACGGAGCAGTAATCTTCGGTACATCAAACCTTGCTTTCACTATCCTCAAGGTTTACTTAGCCCATAAGGTATTAGTCATCATGGGAAATCTATTCAACTTATTTTATACCACTTATTATGATTTTGATGTACCTAGTTACGTAAATATTGTATGCACAAACCTTTTCCAAATGTTCCATAATCCTGAAGTTCGTCATATTAGTTATAGGCAAATCAAGTCCTATACAAGTGCATTAATTCTTTTCTTTTTTTCCCTTAATGATAGACTATTTAGGGAAGTTGCACATCAAGACCCTTGGAACATAAATTTGACTTATTTATAGTATTCCAATGAAAAGTCGTGGTTGAATGGGAGATTGCATTACTTTTTGGTTGTCATCAGCTCAGAAAGAATAAATGAGGGCACATATGGCTGTGATCTCAGATTTCTTTGTAATTCAGTTATTGAGAATGTTAAAAAAAAAAAACAAAGAATAGTTCTTTGGTTATTTCCTAGTTGGAAACTTATTTGAAAGCTATCTTGTCGGAATACTTAATACTTTTGCAACAAGACCGCTTGCTACCACTACTACTCTTTGCCTAATGCTTTTGCCACCAACCATCGCTGCCCACCAAGGATGTCTCATTGTTGCCTGTGTTTGCCCACTACCAATGTCACCGACCACCACCTCTACCAATACCCATTGTCTTCTGTAGTGCTATCGGGTGCCATTAATTATTGATCACTGTTCTTTGTGATTTCTGTCATCTTCTTGCTGAGAAGTGACATGGCTTCCGTTTGGCACACCCCACTTTGTCTCTTCCTCTGCTTCAATTAAGGACTGATGGTGTCCACAAGGAGTGAGTACAAGTTGGTAACAACCGGAGACATCTTAAAAAGTTCTTAATTTTATATTTATGAATTGAACTTTTGCATGATTGTTTTCAGAAACTGAAAACAGAAAACTGATTTGTAAAACATTTTCGTTTATTTAAAACCAAGAATACTGTATGTGAGATCACAGTCAAGAAAACCATAAACTTGTATGTTATAGTGATCCAATGCTTATGGCTTGGGTTAAACATTGTGACCCCAGTACATATTAGTCGGCCATTATGTTGAATGATGTGAGGATATTTGTTTTAATAATCTCTCATAAGAAATTATACAGTTCCCTGATGCTCTTTAAAAAAAAAAAAGATAAATAAATTGTTTATTGCATACAAATAATGTCTATGCAAGTGTTTTGTTTTGGCAAAATATGATGTATATATATGCATATTGCATTGATTTAACAATCTTTACGGTCCATAGATTCATTAAATCCTCCAATCTGAGATCCTCTGTGATTCGCTAATCAATCTTAAAGTAAACAGCATTTGGAGCGACATTCATGTGACATAAAATTAACGACATAGTTATCATGGTACATAAAAGGCATGATCACGGTTACCTGCTTTTTGTTGCACATTGCAGCCTCCTATTACTCAGTAACCCTTCGACCATTTTACCTTATAAGATTCAGTTATGTTCAAACGTGTGCAATTTATGTTGGGCAAACATGCCTCTAATTTTTATGTATTTTTATTAATTATAAGGATTGAGAATCTGGAAATGTTGTTGAACCATGGTGCTGAGGTCTGGAAGCATCAGAACAGAGAAATGGAGGCATATTTATCCAGGTAATTATCTTCTAGTCTTTATCATCTTTGTGATTGATAATGAAATTAATTGTGATTTTGTTTCTCGATGTATTTTAAGATGTTCATAAAATTTAAGATATACACTTCTGTAGGTAGGATCTTTGTCCTATACCCACAACGAACGCATGAGTCAGTTTCTAAACTTTGACAGATAAGATCAGCCAGAGTAAGAAATTTGATGACAATAACATGACAAATCTATAAAAGGTTCTGATCCTTCAGTTTTTATCATCTGCAATGGGCGTGAAAATATCATTTAAGAAATAACAGTCCATCGATAACTTGGAGGATACAAAGATTGGTCTGAAAACTCGTCATGGCAGGGAATCTTAAAGAATATGAGAGTCTTTGTAACTCGTAACCATATGATTATGCGGCATTCTAGAGTGTGGTAATGTTGGAAAACTAAACTATTGATGTGTAATGAGGTTAAGATTTAAAATATGTTGGCGACAACCCATAGAGAACAAAGTCTCTGCATCATCTTTTGTTAAGAACTAAACATAAGGGACTCCTGTCCTGATTGCCTAGAAGTTCATTGGGTTGTTAGAAATGGATCAGCTTTGGGGTTGCTTAGTTTTCTTTGTTTTTCTTCATGTTTAGTTTAGTGAGGCCCCTTGGTCACAATATTCATGAATCGCGTGGGTTTCTAAATGCAAAATTATGTGTTAATTCTTTTAAACAGATTTGACTCTGTATATCTTCAGTTCGCTTGTACATGAAATTCTTCATCGCAGCTAACTGAATCTCTCTTCAGATTAGAAGCTACGGCAAGGGAGTATGACAAACTGATAGAAGCGGTAAATCGTGATAGGAAGTTCCAACAGGTAAATGTTTTTTTTTTTCCCTTCTTCTGAGTCTTTATCGGTGTCACTACTTGTATGATGATTTGTCCATGCGTATGCTTTACGCTACGTCTAAGACATGCTTGTTGTGATCAGCAAAATACAGGTGGGCAACTTAATATGCTGAATGCACAGTGGAGGGAATTGTGTCAGAAGAACATCGAAATCCAGGCTGCATGTGCAGATCTGCAGAATCATATCGACCAAATCAAGCTAGAGGCAAAAGAGAGGTAACCCTTCTTAAATAAACTCTATTTGTCCTGCATCCCTTGATGTCTCTGATTAGTTTTAGCTAACAGTGGCTTAGATCTGGATATGAAAATGGAAAACTAGCTTGCTGACGAAAGGTACGTTTTTGACTTTGTAAGTTGATTTTGTAATGTGTATCAACATTTAGTCAAAGCCTACATTTGCCTTTGAACTGAAGCCAAAAGAAAAAGGAGAGTAATACTTGTGTGCATTTTTTTCCGCAATTGCTGTGCAGGAGGAAGATAGGAGGGGTAAGTCCAAATTTTGCAGACACAAGTATTAAGAGCATGATTGAGTGCAGTCTGCCTACTAATCAATCCTGCAACAAGGTCATTTCTTAAAACCAAAGTTCCACATATGGACTTGGGGGGTTTCTCAAGTTGCATGTCCATTTCCTAATCCTGAAATTTATTCGGTTGTCTTGTATCAAAAATTCTTGACTTCCAAAATATGTTTATGTTTTGCCAGCAAATAGGCTAATGGGACTGCCTGCCATTTTCCTTCTTCGCTGTGATTCTTTGCTCGGAAGACAGACGGCTTTGATGCATTTTATCGAAAGCCTGTGGACTGACTAATATATATATATATATATATATATATTATCGAAAGCTTTGATGCATTTTATCGATAGCTTCTTTTAAAATTGTCAGGCATTTGTGATCGACTAATATATTAAATTAATCAAAAAAAATCTTCATGTCTTTTATTATTATTATTATTCGACGGACCTCTAAACGTACGGTGGGATCACTTCAAAAATGAATCTGCCTCTGATCTTTGGGAGGATTTCTTTTTCTTCCCCACGATTTTGACTTGAGAAGGAATTATCTGTGTTATTACGAGACTAGACTCGATTATGCACGAACAATCACGTTCTTTTTCTTCCCCACGATATTGGCACATTTGCTCGTTCTTATCATCAGATACATCAACTAAACCCAAACCAATATTTGATTTGGACCTTTATATGATATATCATTTGGCTCATAATGTTTCAATACTGCGTGACACTTTTTGTGTTTTCACTCAAAAATAAATTTTCATTGCATTAAATAACACACATAATTGAAGACGTTTTCTATCCAAATTTTTTAGCAGATGAAACAAACTCTGAACTAAAAGACGGCACAATCTCTATTGAAAATGGTGAAAGCAAATTCCAGGTCAAAGAAAGGTGTTTCTAACAAGAGTTTCAGCCACAAAAATCCAATTCAACAAAGCAAATGGAAATTTTTTTTGAATTGCACGAGACAGGAATAACAAAGAGATAGCACCCATCCAAGCAGAACATTAACTGTCATCGTGTCCCTCTAATGTGCTGATGCCGTGAACGATGCATACTGCTGCTTTTGAGCGACCCCCCATGCTTTGTTTACTGTCAAAATAATTTTTAGTCAGCACACATTGTTGACTTTTCATGGAAAGGAGATTTTTCATTTGCAAGAGAAAAATATAGAAGGCTTCCTATGGCAAGAAACTTAGGAACGCTTTCTGTTGACAATTAATATTGTCGGTGCTTACATACACACATGCTCATCAACGAACTAAGAAAAGGTAGTAGTAGTAGTCGTTACCTTGCTAGCGATGTTGCTGGAGAGCCAATCAAGCCCCTCGTACAAACCCTCACCAGATGTAGCACAAGTGCTCTGTATGTACCTGAGCATAGTAATCGCAAGAAACCAGTCATGGGCGTCGGAGGCCTTAAATATATCAAATCAATTGTCTATCAGATCTACCGAAAGAGCATAGAAAATCTTCGTGGGACGGTAATATCTGAATACACAGTTCAATATGACAAATTAAGAAAGAAAACTAGCAACTATTTTATTTACGTTTGATCGACTTGGTTTTCTTCCAAATAATCAAGACACCATTTTAAACAAGCATACGCTCAACTGATCTCCTCATTATATATACCACCTTAGTTACCATCAATAGATTCCACCACACCTGCTATGAACTAGTTTCAAGGAACAGATTGTAATTTACTTTTTATTATGGCAGGTAATGAGCTAAAACCATTAGCTTATCAAGTGATAAATATATTACCAGTGTCGCTGACGCAAGGAATGCAGACCAAGCTTATCAGTGATTTCAGCAGCATTCATTGCATTTGGAAGGTCTTGTTTGTTCGCAAACACAAGCAAGACAGCATCCCGTAGCTCATCCTAGCAGTACCAGAACAGTTATCAAGAACAACAATGAAACTGTAAATCATGGTAGTATAATGATGCTTTCTTATTATAATAAAGTAGACAGTTGAAATGCTTTAAATGTCACACTTACTAAATGTTTGATGAAAGGGTTCCAGATGCCATTTAAACACAAAAAGTTGATATCACCAAAAATGCTTTAAATTTCACATTTACTAAACGACCGATGAAAGGGTTCCAAATGTCATTTAAATACAAAAAGTTGATACCACCAAACTTCACACTAGGCATTATGATCCAATAATACTATCTGATTGTATCAAAACCATGAACATGATGTTAGAACAGATGTTCCATGACAGCACCAACATCATGTGTTCATGTATCAATCTCTGAATTAGCATGAGCAAGATAAATTATAAGTTAAAAATGTGATTATAAGCACAATATATTGTGGTCGAAATATTCACTCTGTCCTGTTTCAATGGAGACCTGACCAACACATTTTGTCAGTTGCAGTGGGTAAGTTTTCCAAATTTTGTTTTCCGAAATATTTTAAATTCATAACAATCAATAAAATTAGATAATTTGAGTAAAATAAGAAAGTTGAGGAAAAAGAAAAAGAAAGGGGGCTTCATGACTTGAAATAATACAAGATGCAATTACATGACCTCCTAATATCAAAGAGAATAAATAAAGCAATCAGAAATTCAACTTTCATTAGCAAAGAAAAAAAATTAATGTAAATATAAGTATTCAAAACTAGTACTATAGAACAAAATATGAAAAAATTAGTATATAGGAGATCGAGAAGAAAATTACAGAGAAATGTCATGTCTTGTATGTGAAACCTATTTAGTTTATGCTAAAAGGAAGCCTCTCCATCCATTGTAGAATACAAGCTGAAGGAATCAGGCGGGCTCACATTCAATGATTGAATCAGTTGCTTAAAAGATTCATCTGATATTTCTTTTAATCTGATGAACCTTTTTTCCTCCAATTCTAATCCATTTTTGTTACCTCCAAGATACTGAAACAAGATTGTTAAACATTTTTTTTTTTTTGGATCAAGTCTTGAATCACAGGAAATTATATGAGAAATATAATCACATTACATTTAATAAGTTAATAACACCACCACCAAATTGGTTATATGTAGAATCACAGTCTCTTTAACCAAAACGTGCAAGATAAGTTTCATGGAAGTGTATGAACAAGGAAGTTGAGGACAAGAAAGTTAGCTTCATTTCTGAGAATAATTTGTCAAAATTTATTGGATGGAATCTCCTAGAGCCATATTTCTACCCCAACTAGACTTTCCAGGAGTACCTATGCAAGAATGAAGTTGACATTAAATCTTTTGATAGGTAAGTATTATCGTTAAAAGAGGTTACCTCATTTAACATCCTGTGGAGCTCATCCCTTGCCTCAACAATACGATCTCGATCATTGCTGTCAACAACAAAGATAAGGCCTTGCGTATTCTGAAAGTAATGCCTCCACAGAGGTCTGATCTGTTCTTGCAAACAAGATCACCATTACACAAGCAGTGAGAAACACGGCAAACTAGTTAAACAACCAACAGACTCATCAACTCTTATGATCCATTCACATAGTTGCATGGATAATGAAAAGTTGTCTAACATAATTACAGCAGTACCTTGTCCTGACCACCAACATCCCACACGGTGAAGCTAATGTTTTTGTACTCAACAGTTTCCACATTGAATCCTGCATAAAATTCCACCATAATTACACTACAATGACATGATTTTCAAGACACAAGCATATACATTTCATCCACTACAAACACCAATAATTACTTAAATTATTCATCTTTCTTAAGTATAAAAAACAAGTTTCCACATTGATAGGGTAAAAGTCTTCATACCGCTAAATCACCCTGATCCTCCACATTAATCATGATCACTGGAACCCTTAGGGTTATTGGAAGCATTGCCATACTTTAAAGAGAAAGAGAAGTAAAACATTAAAATAACGAGATATTCCGCATCCATTTCCTACAGTTCGCCTAATTGAACAAAGAACTTTTGTCTTGGAACTGTTAAAACAATTGTCAAAATCAAATTGTATGTTTCAGACTGGTAATAGATAAACGAATAAATAGAAGATCCATAGAAAACGTAAAAATCAGCAGTGCCTTTTCAAGGTGCCAATCCCCTCACGGAGAGAATGTGCCACTACGGTTTGTTCAATCGATTCTTCGTGTAGGCCTTTCTCGAAAAGAAAGGTCATTTCGAAGGGAGCGATAAGAAAACGCTATCATGAGTTCGTGTTAGAGATATCTGCCCCCACGCCCACCAATTAAATCTTTCTACATCACGAACTCACCCAAATAGGTAAATTAATGCATGATATCTATTTAAATAGAGGAGCCAATTCAAACAAATCGAGCAGAACAAACAAGAAGCATCAGGTTTCAGGATATCAACGTCGAGAAGAGGAAAGCTCGTTTAAGAACACGAACAACACTCACCAATGGTGGGAATGGTGGTGACGATCTCTCCGAGCTTTAGCTTGTAGAGGATGGTCGTCTTACCGGCGGCATCAAGCCCTACCATCAGGATCCTCATCTCTTTCTTCGCAAACAGGCGGCTGAAGAGCTTCGCGAAGCTGAGCCCCATCGTTCCCTTTCGCTACAACAAGAATCACACGGACGGATCAAAGATCTAACACAAAATTCCACCGATCTAAAGCAGAAACAAACATGACCCCGATCAGAAACCGACAAAAAGAGAGAACAAGATAGCCGATCTCCGTGATCTAAAACAACGGCATGCGATATAAAGCAACGACAAACGGAACTCCAAGACCGAGGAGAAGTCGTGAAGAGGAGGAGGAGGAGGAGGAGGAGGAATGGATTAACCTCGAGATCGTGAAGGCGTCGAGAGCCGAATCGGGGCGCGAGAGTGCTGCGCTTCTTCGCCTCTTGCGGACGGAAAGAGAAGGCGGACCCGAAAAGGAATTAATAAGAGGAAATAAGAAAATTTCGGTTCCGCGGGGAGACGAAGTCAACTAACGTCACGTGGCTGCCAGCTGATGCTTGTTACAGCAGTAAGTATAACGCTTTTGAGGTTTGTAACAGTCCGATATATACACATATATAATATAATTGACGCTGATATAACAGTTGTAACTTAGTATATCGGTCCACTGTGATGGATGACCGATATCTTATTCCTAGTTATGATGCTACATCATAATCATATCACTAATCCTTGCATAAAGGAATAAAAGAAATAATCTAATTTACAATTTATCCTTTTAAATATGAGTTTAGCATATCTATCAATCAAAAAAGAAAGCTTCAAATTATATATATATATATATAT